GCTTTTTCAAGAGGCAACTGGACTTTCCTGTTTTTCTTTGGAGACATTTCGCTTCCCATCCAAGCTTTTTCAGCTCTGACTGGATGGTGGGGAATGGAAGGATTTATATTCCTTGCAGACAGCTGGTCATTTGTCTTCTTTTAGAGTCGTTGAGGCCACTTGGAGGTTCATCTGTGTCCTCAGGGTCACCTGAATAGTGCAAATGGTGTGGAGTCTTCTTGGCTGCAGGATGTTTTCTGCCCCGTGTCCCTTCGCTGTTGAAGACAGGCACAGACTGTTGGGGATGAGTCTGTGCGCCTGTCTTCAACAGCGAAGGGACACAGGGCAGAAAACATCATACAGCCAAGAACATTCCACACCCATTTGCACTACTCAGGTGACCCTGAGGACACAGGTAAATCTCCAAGTGGCCACAATGATTCTCTAAAACAAGGGGTGTCAAACTGCCGGCCCACGGGCCAGATGTGTCACCTGGAAGCCGCGCCCACCCCATTGCTGGCAATGGTGAAACCGTCCCGATACGTTCCGCGACGTCACATGTCGCGAGTTTGACATGTCTGCTCTAAAAGAATGCAAATGACCAGCTGTCTGCAAAGAATATAAATCCTTCCATTGCCCCACCATCCAGTCAGAGCTGAAGAAGCTTATTGGATGAGAAGCGAAAGGTCTTCAAAGAAAAACAAGAAAGTCCAGTTGCCTCCTGAAATAAGCACCTTTGGGACAACCAGGACCTGGACAACTAAGAATCTCCATGGAGGTACTTCTCTAACTTGGGGGGGCAGGGAGAAATCCATGTTTTGCAAACTTGCCCTCTTTCTCCACTCCATCTTAAGCAGAGGTAGCCCAAATTTCCGTTGCGAAGCAGGACAGCTGTTAAGTGAGTTTTGCCCCATTTTACGACCTTCCTTGCAACTGTCGTTAAGTGAGCCGGTGCACTTGTTAAGTTATTAACACAGCGGTTAATGAAGTGCATCTGGTTTCCCCACTGACTTTCCTTGCCAGGAGTTCGCAAAAGGGGATCATGTGACCCCGGGACACTGCAACCGTCCTAAATACACGCCCGTTGCCAAGTGACAGGATTTTGACCACACGATGATGGAGATGCTGCAATGGTTTTAATTGTGAAAAATGGTCCTAAGTCACTTTTTGTCAGCTCTGTGGCAACATCAAACGGTCGCTAAACGAATGATTGTATGTCAAGGATTACTTTGAAGATGAAAGAAACCATTTCTTGCGGTAGAACAGGGCTGGAAATTTATTATCTTTCTAAAAATGAAGACTGAACTGCAAATATTTTCAATTAACACAGAACAGCACATATCCAGGTTTGAAAATCAGGTAACACAACGATTCCCTTGAGGATGCTGCTATTTCACTGCACTGATTTTGGCCAGCAAGGACCCAATACTGCCAGAGGGGGTAAAAATGATCCAATGGGATCTCTTACGAAGCATTATGGGAGAACTGCAGAGACAAAGGAACACAGGGACCACAGTGTGTGTGACTGTGTTGCCAGGCACAAAACAATGATTTTTGTTGTTGTTGTTTCTTTGTCTGCGATGGTCAGGCCCACAACTGCAAGCCCAAGCAGATGACAGCTGCCACCATAAAGAAGAATGGAAGGGATTTTTCACCCCCTCTGCACGTTGGAAGATCTTTTTGACTTCAACCGTGGGAAGAAATGGTCAGCTACATTTCTTTTGATAAAGGTCTCAGAAGTGAGTTTTAAAAGCCCTCCGGCAGAGCTTTGACCGGGTTGAGGAGAACATAGTGATCTTCAGTGGAGAGATCACTGGGATCGCCAAAGACTAGGTGTGACGTCTCCCCAGCCTGCTTGACAACCTGTGTTTGCTAAAAATACCTACTCAAAATGTCCTTTGCCCTAAAGCATCCCTTTTGATGCTGTTTGGTTTTTTGTTTTTTTGTTTTTTAGGGAAATGGGAACCTGTCTAAACACTATTATCATTGCAACACCATCACTTCAAGGTCTGAAAACGCTAAGTGAAGCCAAAATAAACCTTAACAGTACATTGCCTCTTGGACAGAAAGAAGCCCGTGGGATTTCCTATCAAAAAAAAAAAAATTGGCAGGCAAGCTATTTCTGGGACTATACAATATTGTACTTGGAGATCCAAAAGTACATCCAGCCCTTCTCATAAAAAGGGCATTCTCTTTTAAAATGAATTCAGCTCCTAGTTCATGGACTTTATGTACACGTCTCTGCTGTTTTCTTGATTTTCCATGGCTTTTTCTCAGATTATTTTTCAACTTCCTGGCCCAGACCTTTCTGAAAACCAAGTTAATTCCCCCATAGTAATCATAGCAGCCTACCGTTGAGTTAGTTAATATTGTTCTACTGAGCAAATTTACCATAAATATGTAACATAAGTGTAATACACAGTACCAAAACAAATTTAGGAGAAATAACCTGCAGGTGTCCTGGACAATTGCCACAATAATTTACTACTTGTTTTTTTTTTGATCCCGCCTTTATTATTTTATTTTAACGCAAGGTGGCAAACATATATAATACTACTTCTTCCTCCTATTTTCCTCACAGCAACTACTCTGTGAGGTGTTTTGGGCTGAGAGAGTGTGATTGGCCCAAAATCACCCAGCTGGATTTCATGCCTAAGGCAGGACCAGAACTCGCAGTCGCCTGGTGATTGGCCCAAAATCACCCAGCCAGCATTCACGCCAAAGGTGGGACTAGAACTCACAGTCTCCTGGTTTCTAGCCTGGTATCTTAATCACTAGACCAGTGTTTCTCAACCTTGATAATTTTAAGGCATGTGGACTTCAACTCCCAGAATTCCACAGCCAGCATTGCTGGCTGTGGAATTCTGGGAGTTGAAGTCCACATGCCTTAAAATTGTCAAGGTTGAGAAACACTGCACTAGACAAAAATGACTCTCAATTTGCCAAACAGCTGGAGCTGTAAGACCTCAACTGTACAGCCACTAGGTAAGATTTTGGACTGGCACTCGTGACTCAGGTTCAAACTCAGGAAAACTCTGTCATGACAACTTACTGGGTGACTCTGAATCTGTTACTTTCTCCCAGCCCAACCTAGATCACAAGGCTGTTGTTGGGAAAGTTTAGTTCCAATGATGTATGTGTATTAGTTGTCAGAAGAGTCCCTTGTCCATCTCCACTCACATTTAATATGCATTTTTCTTTTTATAGTTCCAGGCTACAGGGAAAAAAGCAGGTTTGATCGAGGGAATGCTAGGGGCTGATCTCTACTGAAGAAGTTGCCGCCTTGAGTTGCTTATAAAGAAATAAAGGTGGGATAAAAATGCAATAAATAAGTAAAATAAATAAATTGCTTAACACTAGGAAAGCCTTTGCATGTCTGCAAGTTGTAAAGGATTTGGCGCCCGCTCACTTCCTTTTATTCAGGATACTACATATAAGCGCTATGTGCTTAGAGTTCGAAGCATTCTGTTAGAGACCTGACACACTAGATCAGTGATGGCGAACCTTTTAGAGACCAAGTGCCCAAACTGCAACCCAAAACCTACTTATGCATCGTTGGATGCCGGGTGGGTGTGGCCCATTGGGTGGGTGTGGCCCATTGGGTGGGCATGGCTGTGGTGGTAACAGCAGAATGGGTGGGACTAAAAAGTTCAATCAATCAATTCCAACTTTGCAAGATCTTTTTTTCCCCCGAGAAGTTGAAACTGACTGATTGAACCTTTTTTTTTGTGCACATGGCGGCGGAGGCCTAAAGCGGAAAGGTTTTATAAAACTTAGCTGAAGGCCTAGGACTGGGGCGATGGTGCGCATGCCCACAGAGAGGGCTCTGAGTGCCGCCTCTAGCACCCATCCCATAGATTCGCCACCACTGTACTAGATTCTGTAACAGCTTTGTTCCTTATGCCATCCATCTCGTAAATTCACAAGATTCTTTTTTTTTACCATGTATATATTCAAACTAGACTGGGATGTTTCTCTGTGTCATGTTTGTGTATGTGAGTATATGTATAATGGTATTTTTTGAAAGCTGAATGCAATGAAATTTCATTTTAATGTATGCTGATTGGTGTACAATTAAAGTGACAATGAAGTTTTTATTCTACTCCTCTCAATTCACATTGGATTTCTGCACAGGTGCAGCAACTCAGAATATATCCCATGCTTTTTTGCATAGCAAACAGAAATGATAAAGTGGAAAATACAGGTAGTCCTTAACTTACAATCATAACTGAACCCAAAATTTCAGTTGCTAAGGGAGACAGTTAAGTGAATTTTGCTTCATTTTATGATCTTTCTTGCCAGAGTTGTTAAGTGAATCACTGCTATTAAATTACTAACACAGTTGTTAAGCAAATCTAGTTTTTCCATTAACTTTGCCTGCCAGAAGGTCACATGGCCTCAGGACATTGCAACCATCATAAATATGAGTCAGTTGCCAAACATTTATATCATGTGACCATGGGGATGCTGCAATGGTTGTTAAGTGTGAAATGTGGGTCATGTCACTTTTTGCCGGGCCACTGTAACTATGAACGGTCACTAAATGAACTGTTGTAAGCCGAGGGCTACCTGTAAATCGAAAGGAAGGTAAATGAAAAGAAGCCCGGAGAAGAAGAAAAAAAAGTTCTAATCTATAGAAAGGAATAAAGGATTAAGCACATCTGAAAGCCTTATAAGGATTAAGCAGAGACATACTTAATTAAGAAGCCTATGAGGACATCTAGTCGAGCCTAATTATTACTTTTGAAAATGTATCTTTTTAACATTTATATTTTATTGTGTTTTACTAATGTAGGAGAAATGTTAACCCATATATTGCTAGTCCATGTATGATATCCCATGCGCTAAATAAATAGCCCTGCTGAATCCGAAGCCCAGAATTTCCCCCGGGAGTGGCTGGAGGGGGACACTCAACCTTTCACCCCCTTGTTTTCCGTCTTAGCAACTAAAGGTAGACTGCTCCTGAACTTGGAGGCTTCCCTGAGCCACGCTGGTTCAAAACCCAGGCTGGTGTTACTCACTTTTAGATCCTCCAACGCCACCACCTCGCTCAGCACCGACTCCATCACGCCCAAACACGGAAGCGGCCGCTAGACGGAAGCGGAAACCCGACATTGCTTTTACTTGGAGACTCTCGAACCATCATCTCTATGGTAACTGCTTCGCGCCATCTATTGAAGCCTCCGGGATTTTCAGCCATGCGTGCCTAAGTCCGTGCGGCTCCTTCCGGTGGAAAAACCGGAAGTCAGTCAAGAGATGGCTTTCTGCTGCTATGGCAACGCCAAGAAGGGAGCGCTAATGGCTTTCTGCTGCTATGGCAACGCCAAGAGCGGATCGCTAATGGCTTGGCAGTCTCCCTACTTTAGGACTTCAGTTCCCATCAGCCCTTGCGGCTCGGAAAGTTTCTATTCGTAACTTCAGGAAAGGAATGAGGGGTCTACGCCCGCAGTTTGGGGAGTGGGCAAAAGTGGAGCGAAAGGCAGCCTGACTAGATGAAAGCACATAATATGGGATGGGGCAGATAGAGACTGGATTCCTCAAAAGGCTTAAGCCACAAATTAGGGAATAAACCATAATAGCTTGAGATTGTGTAATGTACTAACTAAACTAAACCAATGGTTCTCAACCTTGGCCACTTGAAAAGGCCAGGACTTCAATTCCCAGAATTCCCCAGCATAGCATAGCATAGCATTGCATAGCATAGCATTGCTGGCTGGGGAATTCTGGGAGTTGTAGTCCATGCCTCAAGTGGCCAAGGTTGAGAAACACTGTAGTAAGCCATAAACCATGATTTACCAAGCATGCTGGCTAGGGAATTCTGGGAGTTGAAGTCCACATTTCTTAAAAGTTGCTGAGGTTGAGAAACATTGCCCTACTGTGTAAGATGGTGATTATTTGTGGAGCTGTCAGTCTAGTGCACAGGTATCAAACTTGCCACGTCATGTGTCGCGAAGTAGCATGACTTTTTGCATTGCTGGAGCTGGGGTGGGCGCAGCCTCAGCATGAAGCAACCGGCCCGCAGGCCGACAGTTTGACACCCCTGGTCTAGTGCAATAGCCTGCAGCAGTAGAGAATACAGGTAGTCCTTGACTTAACAATAGTTCTTTTAGTGACATTCAAAGTTACAATGGCACAAGAAAAAGTTATTGATAGCCATTTTTCATAAGACCATTGCAGCATCTCACGGTCATGTGATCAAAATTCAGACGCTTGGCAACTGACTCATGTTTATGACGGTTGCAGTGTTCCAGGGTCATGTGATCACTTTTTGCGCCCTGACAAGAAAAGTCAATGGGGAAACCAGATTTGCTTAAAAAACGTGTTACTTAACAACTGCAGTTATTCGCTTCACAACTGTGACAAGAAAGGTCATAAAATGGGGCAAAGCTCACTGAACAACTGCCTTGCCTAGTAACAGAAATTTTGGGCTCAATTGTGGTCGAGGACTACCTGTAAAAAATTTAAAAGTGGCCATTCACCCCCTGAAATTTATCTTGCTTTACATACTAAGGATGACCCTTGCTTTTTCCTGTTCCTTCTGCAGCTGAACAGAACAGCAGAAATCCCATAGAACTCTATAAACTGAGTTAAAAAAATAATCTGTGAGCAATGAAGTTACTTTGTCTTCTGCATTCTTCCTCTCTAGCTTCACTTCCTTTCTAGGACAGCATCTGAGATGTGAATAAATAGCTAAGACACTGAAGACCAGTGGTTCTCAACCTGTGGGTTGGGACCCCATTTGGGGTCAAACGACCATTTCACAGGGGTCGCCAAACAACGCAGTCCGCCATTTTTTTCCCCTTTTCCTTAGCTGTGCTACTCCCTTTTATTCTATTGGCTTTTGAAAGCCAATAGAATAGACTCTCTTGAATAGAGTCCAATTCTATTGGCTTTCAAAAGCCAATAGGAATTGTCCAGGCTGTCTCTGCCCTGCTGAGCCTGCCAAATTCCCATTCTGCAAACGGTGCTGCACCAGCTGAGTAGTCCTCGACTTACGACCAGTTGAGTAGTCCTCGACTTATGACTGGTTGGGGGTCGCGGCATTAAAAAGATTGAGAACCACTGCTGAAGACCAAAACCTCTCAGCTTAGTCTAGCTTTAGCTAGGCTAGAGCAACCATATCTGGTCCATGAAATCACCTCTAGATGTCGTCAAAGAGAAGAAATCAACTAATTGTTGCCATCTAGTGAGCATCTGGATTCCTGTAAATTAGGAAAGGTACCCTCGTTTCGGATCACTATTATTCTTTTTCTCTAGTTTGGGCCTTGATTCTGAAAAACATCCCAATTTCATCATTATTTTATGACATCATTATTTTGTGACAATCCATAATAGTGTTGTCTTGTAGATTTCTCAGCCTGTATAACTAGCAAGGTTTATGGCTTACTATGGTTTATGACTTAACATGGCATGCAAATACAGCCAATTGTTATTTAGTCAATAAATCACAGTGGAACAAAACCATAGTTCAATCTGTCAACCTGGTTACTGGATTACAACTAAATTATGATTATTACAGGCAGTCCTCAATTTACAACCGTTTGTTTAGTGACCATTTGAAGTTACGACAGCACTGGAAAAATTGACTTATGACAAGTTTTTACACTTAAGACGGTTGCAACATCTCCATGATCACACGATCAAAATTTGATTCTTGGCAACTGTCATGTATTTATGACAGTTTCACTGTCCCAGCATAATGTGATCACCATTTATACCTTCTCAGCCGACTTCTAACAAGCAAAGGCAATGTGGGAAGTCAGATTCTCTTAACAACCGCACAATTCACTTAGCAGCTTAAGTGACTCGCTTAACAACTGTGGCAAAAAAAGGTCATAAATGGGGCAAAATTTACTTACCAACTGTCTCGCTTAGCAACAAAAATTTAGGGCTCAATTGTAGTCATAAGACGAGGACTGCCTGTATATGGGAAACAGGAATCAAATGTAGTGTGCGAAAAGGATTTTGGGATCGTTATGGATCAGAAGCAGAATATGAGTCAACCTTATGTCTTGACTTCTAAAAAGTGGAATTTGGTTTCCAAACCTCAGGAAGGAATAATTCCCTCCCTCTTGGAATAGCATGTCCCTTGCATCTCGTTCTTCTTTTTTCCTTTTTTTTTTTTTTTTTTTGAAAAAAAGATTTAGAAATTTAACTGGGACAGTTTCAGAGAAGCATGATTCTGGATGAACGTCATGAAAAAACTTCCTAACAATAAGTAATTTGGTGGTGGAACTAACTATAAACAATTATCTAGAGAATTTGTGATTTTCACTTCTTTGTTTTGGGATCAAACAGAGGCTAGGTAGCCAGCCACCTTTCAGACATATTTTAATTTGGATTAATGCACTTAGCAGTGTAGTATAATCTAGGGACCATCACTCCAGCCATTCTTAAGAAGAGGTAAAGAGACAAAATGCTGGGAAATGTTTTAATTCTAGTTGTGAGGTCATTTTCAGTCTAATTTGCACCAACGTTCTTCCAGTCACTTCCTATACAACAGGGGTGTCAAACTCAATTTCATTGAGGGCCGCATTAGCATTGCAGTTGCCCTCGGGGAGGGGGGGGCGGGGAGGGGGTGTGTGGCCAGGGTGGGTGCGGCCTACTGGGTGGGCGTGGATGGAGTGGGTGTGGCCTACTAGGTGGGTATAGCCAGCTCTACATCGTTGGTGTCAAGGGTGCCTGTGGGGGCCTGGGCAGGAGTGGGACAGATCTGAGGGTCTCTGGCAGAAGGGGAGGGGACCGGGGCAAACGCCAAGGCATGGTCCATTTCTTCATTCCTCACAAAGGGTGACAACTCTCCAGCATGCACCCAGGGGGTGGGGCCGACACGGTAGGGACTGGTTCCTCGCTCTTTCCAGATGGCCTTGTGGAGCTAAGACTGAATGTGTTTCAACATAGATGGCCACCACAAAATTGTACATTGGCTCCCGGCCGGCCTGGGCCAGGGCCAAGGCAGCGAGGGCCGTTCCCTCACTGTTTCCAGGATGGCTTCTCGGGCCACATGAAACCACTTCGCGGGCCGCATCCGGCCCCCGGGCCTTGTGTTTGACATGTCTGCTATATAAGTAGTCCTTGACTTACAATCAGAATTGAGCCCAAAATTTCTGTTGCTAAATGGGTTGTTAAATGGGTTTCGCTCCATTTTACGACCTCCTTTGCCACAGTTGTTAAGGGAATCACTGCAGTTGTTAAGTGAATCATTAGTTGTTAAGTGAGTCTGGCTTCTTCCCCCATTGACTTTGTTTGTCAGAAGCTGGCTGGGAAGGTTGCAAATGATGATCACATGGCCCTGGGACAGTGCAATTGTCCTTTTAAATACATGCCAGTTGCTAAGGGTCTGAATTTTGATCACATGACCATGGGGATGCTGCAACAGTCGTAAGTGTGAAAAATAGTCCTAGGTTACTTTTTTCAGTGCACTGTAGTTTCAAACGATCACTAAACCTAATTAGAAAAAAGCAGACACCGCAAGACGTACAGCTAGCCAAAAAATATCTTTGTATCTTGATATTTATTAAAAACCAGAAGAAAATATTTGTAGCTCAGGGTTGAACTTTGGGGTCCCCATCCTTGCTGCTCTGTGAGCTTGGTGGTTTTTTTGCAGACGTTTCATTATCAAACTAGGCAACGTCATCAGTGCTAGCCTGTAGTTTTTAATTTTATACTGTACAGCAGGGGTCTCAAACTGCTGGCCGGTCGGCTGGTTGCATCATGCGGAGGCCGCGCCCACCCCAGCTCCGGCAATGCAAAAAAAAGTAGTGATATGTCGCAACACGTCACTTGATGCGGCGAGTTTGACACCCGTGCTGTATAGTAACGGCTTGCCCTGTCAGTCAAAGTAAACATGAAAATATTTAAGTAGCAAAAACAGAGTAAAAGGCAAGGAGAATTAGGGAGAGACATATACATAGGGCAGAATTCTTCCCAAATGATCGACCAGCCAGTCCATTCCTCACTTCACCGGTAGTCCTCGACTCACATCAGTTCATTTAGTGACCGTTCAAAGTTACAACAGCGCTGAAAAAAAGTGATTGACGACCATTATTCTTACGACTGTTGCAGCATCTCCGTGATCACATGATCAAAGTTCAGATGCTGGGCAACCGACTCATGTTTACGACGGTTGCACCGTCCCAGGGTCATGTGATCAACT